TGTGTCACAGGAAAACTTGTTAGTCAGGCAGTTTTGTTCAGCAGAATCCTGTTATGACAAGTAAAATCTGGGAGAAGTGTTGGCAAGGGGCTGTATTCAATAGTAAAAGTTTCTCTAGGAGAGGAAAGTTTGAGCTCCTTTTTTCAGTAATGAACCTGGCAAAAAGGATAGAAAAGGCATCAAGGGATACCACTGGTGTTTTCAGATGATGTGGGCAGTGCCTGAGAAAAAGAGAATCAGGATATTATACAGAAAGAGATGAGCTGGGGGACTGGAGTCCAAGGAATGAAATTATCTATGGTAGAACAAAGGGCACTTGAGGAGCAATGAAAACAAAACAGATGACTGTGCCAAAATTCTTGCTGCTGGCACATTGCCATCCAGATAACAATATCTATGTTGTTATGTTCCTATCTGTTGCTGTGTTTTGGATGATAAACATTTGTAAACTCTTTATTTCCTAGACTGGCCATTTCCTTGCAGGTTTGAGGCTTGAGTCCCAGGGTGCAGTTTGTAAATACTAGTCAAAATGCTTAAAAGTAATATTATAATCTTTTCCAGAACAAATGATGAGACTGATTACTGTGGCTTGAATTTTGCATCCATTTTACAATTGCCTCACAAAACTTTCAAAATAATGTTTCTAAATCAATGCAAATTTTTTCCACTGTTTCAAAACCATAGTCTAGTCTAGTGGTCCAAAAATATAATTTTATGTATTGCAATTCTAGCTTTTTCGTAGAGATCTTGAATCTCTATTTTAGAAAAAAAGCCACATTCCTTTGGCATGTTAAATACAGTCTAAAGGTACACATAGTGGTATTGCCAAATACAATTTCCAAAAACACATTTCTCAAATCCTGTGTCCCCAGGTTCCTAGAAATGACATTCTGTAATGAGCTGTAGGTACTTTTTGATTAGCACAGGGATGAACATTCCTCTGTTTATCGTTTTTCTTGCACCAACGTGACGTCTCTGCTGATTACTCACATTATGGTTAATTTGCAACTGATAATCAGTCCTAGTTTCTTAATAAACTTCTCATTAAGAGACTGGAGCTGTCACTTTACCTCCATGTTACTCTTCCTTAGTATAATCTGTGACCATTATGCAAAAGAAAGGACTGCTGGACGTCACACATGTCATTTGCAATCATGTACAAAAGCTTCAAAAGGAGCTTGTTAAGTAAATGCCCTTCATAAATCATTACTGTAAAATAGAAAGGTATAACTAATCACCATATTGGCACCCTGTTGCTGTATTTGGCTTTTTTGAAGAGGATGAATGTTCAGCCAGTAGACATTTTAAAAGATCTTTACAAAATGCTTTCAGGGATCTCCCTGAATGTTTTGTGCTTTGCTTACACTACGGCAAAACCAGCAGCTTAGTAGCAGAGAGGCTCAAGCTGAGTCACCTGGAAGACCCTTTAAGATTCTTTCTGACTCTGTTGCCTTCAGGAAAAAGTGATATGATTGAGTTTTGATGCCCAGGAACTTATCTTGTACCAACTGGTTGAAAGTAAATTTTCAAATTAACACTCTGAGCCCAGGGTAAGAATGAAGTAATTCAATGTCATCTGCAAATAAATAAATTGCAGATATTTGTGTTAGTTCATACTATAAAAGAATAAATACATGCTTATGGATAACTGTCTCACTTCAGGGGAGATGCAGTTGCAGTAGCAGTTAGGTTACATTAGTCTGGCCATATTGCTTGCATTGTCACTGTAAAATAGTCTTTGGTATGGAGATTTCCTGAATAAAATTCGCAACTTCAGTCTTCTGAGCAACTCTGTGACTCTGAAATCCCACCCCAAGTTCTACCAGTCAAGTGCTTTGACAATTCTTCATGAAGAAGAAAAAATGAAACCATGAGAGTTGGAGTGAGATTTAAAGTTAAGATACAGTACTTTGAAGGTTTTCTTTTTGGGATCTTTTTTTTTTTTTTCCATCTGAGTGGGTTTCATCTTGACAGGGGCAGCATAAACAGCATAAGTAATAATAAATGCAGGGTAGGGCTCTGAAAGAGAATTAAAGTCAAGAAGACAAGCAAGCCAGAAATAATGAAAAGAACCCTTCCTCTTCTGAGAGGGATCCCTGACTCTGTGCTTCCTATGCAGAATTTTTGTACATTCAGAAACCCTCAGCAATAGCATGTCACTATTATTTCCTCACAGGGAAGTGTTTGTGGGAGAGTAACTTCTAAAAAATGCATTCATGATGTTTACTCATTGTCTTGCTTCCAATCACAATTTTTAATCTGGTTTAGCCAAAAAAAAAAAAAAAAAAAAAAAATCCCAGCTAAATATTCAAGAGTTTAGCAGTGAGTTGCACAGCCTGTATCTGAGCTATGACCAGACAAATGGTATCTTTAAAACCTAGTTATCCTTTGGCTTATGTGAGTCTTCCTTTCTTAAATTATCTACAGAAGCTCATTTCCAGTGTGCACATGTAAATTAAATGCTGCATCTCTGTATCTAACCTAAATTTTTTTCCTTTTAATGTCTTGCCACTGCTTTCTGAGATAAAGATTCTTTGCCTCTGAAAATTTTTTTCCTTTTATTCTTTCCATAGCTTCCTGAAAACAGTAAAACTTAACAAACAAACAAAAAAAGGAAAAAAAAAAAAGTAAACCACAAGACTCACAAGACCATAAAGTATTCAGGATTTTTAGATTAGTAGTGAACTAAATCAAAATTTTCCCTCTTGGGTTTTATGATGACTTTACAGAAATTGTCACTACTGATCTCAGCAGGAAATACAGCTTTATACATTAGGACATAATGTGTGAGGTGATGACACTCCATATTTTTCAGGAACTACAAAACATTCAACACAGAAGTGCTTTTCAAAATCTCTTATTTTCTCTCAGGGATTTTCAGTCGATGGGACACCAACATTCATTTTTAATATGTTTTAGGAACAGAAAAGCTTTGTTTTAGAATTGTCCTCAGTAGTCATTCTTCCTGGTTTTACCATTATCCTGCTGTGCACTGGCCATTCCATAGTCTTTAGTTCACATTATTTAATTTTTTTTTTCTGCACCTTTAGGACTTTATCACCACATCCACTCACAAATTAAAGCTGATAAGAATTGATTATAAAATACTATATACTCTATTTCTCTTTACATTGTAAATTGAAATGTTTAACTCAGAACAAGACTCTTGTCTAGTTCCATATGTTCTTTGATTGTGGCTATAAAAATAAGCTAATTATTTCCAGAAACCAATTGCTTTTCATTAAGAAACAATTGCAAAGATTTGATTGTCTATGAGTGTGTTGCAAAGATATTTTGAGTGGATTAAATTTTTAGTTACACACCACCATCAAGTTCCTGTCACATTTCAGTGTTATTGATTTGAAACAGAAGTGGAATTTTGATATCATTTTTTCTGCACTGTATATTGTGTAATTATTCAGATGCTTCATTTTCATTTGTGCTTTCCTACTTGTTTTAAATGTTATTACTTGCTTCAATGCTTTTTCATTTTAGTGAATACACTGATAAATATTTCTATCAATTGCAGATGTGATTTTTGCATAAGTAACTGAAATCCTACTGCCATGGTTTAATACAATATTAGACATCAGAGGAACTTGTAGAAGCAATTAGAAAGTCTATGCATGTATTTGTTTATTGAGTTACTTAAAAATGCTCTAAAGGGATTGCTAAAGCAGAAAAAGGGACATTAAGGCTGTTAGTTTTACTGTCAGATTTTTAGCTGTCCTCACTATGGGTAAAGTGCTATCACCATCACCCCAGTCTGCCTGTAAACTGCAATTCCTTTTTGTTCTCTGAAAGAAGCATGAGCACAGCTGTGGGCAGTGGGACTGACAAGGCAGCTCCTCCAGCTGCAGGGGAAGGGCTGTGCTTCAGGTTACACTGAAATATGAATCTTCAAACTAGAAGCATATCTTGGATACCTTCATGCATTTTGTGCTTTTTTCCTCATTGAAATTGGGAGTTAATATGACGAATACAAGGTTGCTCCATGAGCAACCATTCTAAAATCAATTGGAATATTTAAATAAGAAACTAGCAGACTTAAACTTCCAGTTCTGGTTTCACCTTCCTTTCCAAATTCAGTCACAGAAAGGAGCTGTCTGTATAATTAATTGTAAGGTGAACCTTATTAAATATTACTGTTGTTTTTCCCCTCCATTTTTCAGACTAATAAAAAGCACAGTGGAAAATTTAAGATTTCCACTGCATTTTCTACTTCTGCCTCTCTTATGAGGCACTTGAATGGCTAGTGGGGAAAGCAGTGGGGAAATATATAACCTGGAACTTAATGAAAAAAAATAATGAATTCATTTGTCTGAATGAAAACACATTCTGTATAAAATATTGGAAAACACTTATTTCAGTTTCCAGTTATGATATTTACTTAGGAACAGAAAATGCTTTCAAAATAACTTGTGGAAGTAACATATGGGCCACTTTGAGTCCCATCACACACAGAACTGATGTATATTAGAAACTCCCTTAGGTAGTGTGGCAGTCAGTGGAGAGGCACCTTTTGCTGGCCACAAAATAGAACAGGAAGATCCTTTTTGTGGCTCAGTTCTCCCCAGTTAATATTGTTTAAAGAGGACTGTGAGATAGATGGTGATGGCCACAGAACTCTGCTGGGAATCACCCAGGGATTGGCTGAGCCTCAGCAGTGGCACAGCAGTGTTTGTGCCAAAGTTTAGTGTAGGGGATCTTCAGAAGTACTGCAGGAGCAGAGCAGCAATGCTGCAGCTTCCCTTCTGGGTCTCACCTTTTAATCCCCTATTTTAGCACATTATAGAGCTCGTGTCTATTAAGTTTTTATTAGTTATATAACATATATTAGTCCAGAAACAAAGAATTACAGGTTCAATACTTATTATCCATGTAGACGGGTTATTTGTAACTCAGTGGTTGGCATTATAGTATAATCATTAATTTCCTTTGCTTTTCTCTTCCCAAAAGGAAGTTTTCACAGCCAGCAAGGAAGAACTGTTTTCAGAACATCACTTGGTAATACTTTTAATTTCCTTTGCATATTTTAATGCAATCAGCACAGCTTACATCTGTGTAGCAATCAAATTACAAAGTCAACATAATCCAATGAAAAGCTGAAGAGCCAAATAATCAAATTCAGATTAATATTAATTGCTGTAGCTTCTGCACCTGGATCTAAAAAAACAAAAACAAGAAAACCATCACATATAACTTCATCTATTTAATTGCAATGTTTTAAATAAAAAATCACAAGTAAACCAAAACCAAAAGACAAAACCAAATCAGAAAAATAACCACGACCCCTCTCCCCAGAGGACCCAAACCCAAAATTTTGGATGTTTTATTTTTTTCCCTGTAACAAGAACAGGTCTTGTCAATATCCAGATTTAGATACATATAGCTCAGACATCCCAGTGAAGCTATTTATAATTTTTCCTTTCCTAACAACTTTTATTAACTCATTATTAATCTTTAAGATGGAAATATTATCCTTATTTGACACAGACATGGATTCTTATAGAACATGTGCAGTTCTAGTTCAGTTCTGGAACTAAATTAGGATTGTGTGTTCATTACTAAAGCAGACCCCAAAGTCAACAGGGTTCTTATTTTCACTTGTTCACACAACCAACAGTGAATACAGAAAACCCAGCAAATAAAAGTAAATTACCATTTCCAGTCCTTCCCAGAGGTGCCTTTGCCCTTCCACTGGAGAGCAGCTGCACATGCAATTAATTCAGCACTCATCCTTGTGGGTCCCTTCCAACTCAGAAAATTCTGTGATTTTTTGAAGTAAATGTGAGGAGTGGGATCTCCAGCTCAGAGAGAAATGAGCTCTTGGGGATGGGGGCAGAGGCCTAGTGATGCAGATTTAATAGATACAAATGGAGAAAAATCACTACTCTGCTAGCAACACATGCATTTCAGTTTTCTGCCCTCATTCATACATCCTCTTTGGCTGCATCCCGTGCCTGATGAGGTGTGTGTGCTATTCCACACAATGGTAACAAAGTTTTCCAGTGGGGGAGTTTCACAGGAAAAAGGTGCAAATGGGAAGCTGGAGAAATGTCACTTTTCTGAAAACAGTAATTAAAAGAAAAAAAAAATATTCCTGTTTGTTTGGACTACAGCCATGGGGCTGGTTCTGCAAGTTTGCAGCCCAAGCACAAACTGGACTCTTTCTCCCACTCTGACTTGCCTGTCCTTCACCCAAAGCACAAAACCAAGCATATCATTGTTTTGTGCATTAGACCAAAAGTTTAGTACCTAATGCAGATGGAATTTTAATATTGTGCCAGGATTTAACAGCGGACCATGCTGAAGAGGAGTTTAGTTTTCACTATTACATAAGTTCCTTACAGGAGGCAGCAATTGCAATTAAAGCATAATTGGATGGAAAATGCTTCTTACACAGACAGAATGTGAGATGTAGGAACAGGACTTTGCTTCTTTAACAAGAGCTTCCTCTAGCCAGTTAGGGCTCCATTTGAACTAAAGGAAATGGCTGCAGGTATAATTATATCCTCTTTCATTTAATTACCGTTGGAATTCAGAGAAGATGATAGCAAGTAATTGAGAAGTTATCAATTACTACATTAACACACTTGTGACCAGTAAGATCTCACAGATAACTCTAAATTTGAAGAGTTAGGTTTCAACAGTTATTCAGTTATAATGATTATTTAAAATTGATGAAGTATATACTTCTAGTACCAGTGAGATTCATAACAATAACCTGAAAGTGTTAAAGTGCAAAATTAATTTGTAGATTGAATTTCGAAATCAGGCAGAACTGTCAATGGTCAAGTGGTAAAACAGATGTACTTGCTCCCTTGCCATTACAGGCTAACCTTCTCAATCACATACAGAGCACACAAAGAGAGCTGCAAATATTGCAGTGGTCCTTTATTTCCAAGGAATGACTTTAAAAGTGAGGAGAAAGCTTCCTGATCAAAGCAGAAGGATTTGATTTTGTGTTTTCAATGCTAAGACTTGCTTCTTGACATTGCCAGTTAAGTTTGAGAACAAGTATATTCAGTATAAGAGAGAAATGAGTTTGTGGCTGTGAAAGATTGAAACTAACTCAACCCAAATTTGCAGGGCAAGATCAAACTTACTTCCAGTTGGCAGCACTGTGAATGCCAGCCAGTGCAACACTTTCTAGGACACAGGTCCTTTCTCTTTGTGCTTGAGGATCTTCCAAATCACCTCTCTCCTTTCCATGATGGGCCTGCAGGTGAGAAGAGAATATGGGAGTTTCACATCCTTAATGACAAGGTTGTTTCAGTTCTATAACAATTTTCATGTGGACAGAAAAAGGAACTGTAAGGAATAGGGATGCCAGGTCCTGATCCATGCAAGGAAATTCATAAATGAATCTTATATGTGTTAGTAATGTTAAGATAGACTTTATATAGTGACAGAAGGTCTTTGAAAATAGCATAAAAATTTAAAAGTTCTTATCACAAGGTGCGTGTCAAATGTAAAGTTATTAATGGGCTTGCATGAAAAACATCTCTAAAGAGCTGGGCAACCTGAAGGTAGAAACAGCTTCCTTGAAAGGTTATCAACTTTGGGATTCAGTCACAGCTCAGTCCAGATTCTCAACATCATTCCTATGTGTTTAAGCACCAAAGACATCCCTCAGATCTCAACCTTCTGTAGACCACTACACTGTGAGAAGTCTCTCAATTCCTGCAGTTGCAGAACAAGACAGACAGGCACCATTACTCATAGGTGTGCTGTAGTGCCTGCAGGACTGCAGATAGCCATGGAATTAGAGGCACAGCTGTCAATAAGGCCTTCTGTAAAACTGTATTAACACAATTTTCTTCTTAGTATTTACTATCATTATTGTTGGAAATTATTATTAAAAAAATACTGGTTCCCAAAAAACTGAAGCCCTGGGGGTTTGGTAAAACCAGCACTAACAATGGCAGTGATTATCTGACCTATGTGAAACACAAGTTATACTATAAATTCGGGTGTGACACTGCAGACCACTGACAAAAGCACACAGGACAAAGAGGTTGCCTTGCACTTTGCTGATCTGACCCTTGTTTTACTGACTCAGCCTTCTCCCTTATCACTGTGGGCTAGGGAGGGATCAGCACAGCTCTCTGGGTCTGGTCAGGGCTGTGCTCTGCTCCTCTTGTCTGGGTACTGTGTGAGAGCATTCCTGTTTGGTGAGGGCGCTGCCCTGCTGTCACCTCCATCCCAGCTCATCTTCTGTTGTGGAGCAGTCTAGTCTTGCTGCTCCCTGATGAAAAAAAAGACATCAAACACCTGCTCTTGCTGCCTGTGGATGTGTAAATCAATTTTTACAAATGTAATTGTGGTGCATAAGCAGTTGGCACTTTCTCCTGGGCATATGAAACTCAAAGGAACCACATGTAAGGGCAGAATCCTTTGCACTGTGACATCCTCCCTGGTTAGACTGCTAATCAAATGAATTTTTAAATAATCTTTCTGAATGGCCTGAAGTGTTGAAGTATAAGGACAACAGTTCCTATCCCTTACATAATGCTTTTCAGTTTTCAAGCTATTTAATAACTTTAACAACTGAAACTACTCCTTCAGGTACCCTTGTAACAATTGATCCTTTATACTTCTATTGTGTCTGACACCTGATGTTCTCAAAGTATTTCATGTATTTATTGGACAAAGCCTCATGCAGTTTCTGTGTATGAAGCCTTATAGAGCCAACTGAGTTTTAGAGCACAAACAACTTTAGAAAAAATCAGCAGTGTCTTCCTTGCATAGCAAAGGGAAATAAGGGTGATCTTCATGAACCCTTATTGAGATATGAGACTTTACAACTTTCAGCAGTTGAATCTCATGGCCTTTTTTCCCCCCTTTTTGCAAGAGGACAAGTTGAAGCACAGAATGATGAAACAAATAGCAAATCTGAAAACATGCTTCCCATTGATTCATATGGCCTTGTCTGTGAAGCAATAATTTGTCCCCTAATGTGGGTCAGGGACACTCTTCCTGTCCTCATCAATGAGGTCTCAAAGGACTGTGAAGGTAAAGAGTCTCTGTGCCCCAGGACATCATGAAAAATCCCCATATTCTCTCCCTCCATGATTTTTCCACCAACACGATATTGGGAAAGTTCCTTTAGCTCCTCCAATTTTCCCCAATATTATAAATAATGCAATGAATGTGGAGTTCTGGCACATGCTGAAGCACCTTTGATCAATACCAGTTTAAGAAAAGTTTAAATTAAATATACTGCATTACATACTCTTCCAGATTCAAAATGGCAAAATACAAAAAAATTGTGGTAAAAAAATTGCAAGGAATAGAAGCAAACATAGAGCAAACAAGAAATCTCTCAAGCTGAAGACACAGCTGGCAATGTGAAAACTGGAGTAGTGCCAAAAGTCCACCCTTCTCCTGTAAAACAATAAAACATTTGTCTTGGTGTGAGACATAATAGACCAAGCCCCAAACTACTGACTCTTCTAGGAGACTCTGTGCACCATGGTGGTACATCAGAGCCCCTGCTGATAACGTGCCAAGGCACACAGATTGTTTTGATTGTTTAGCAACCCAATGCTAAACTTGCACAGCAAAAGGCTATAAACCCCTCTTCCATGCAGTTAAATTTTTTAGAGCTCTTCCCAGGCTTGATGCATTGCTGAGATGATACAGCATGCCTCATTGCACTGTGACACTGTGTCAGCAGCACAGATTGCCACCAGCTTTCTCCCTCACTTCCCAAGTACAGGACTGCAGTTCAGTGTCACTGTTTACTTTTTGTGAAATTGAGAAAGAAAAGAAAAGGAAAGCAAATTCACCAGGTGCACTGGAAGGGATGGTTTCTTTCCTCTCTAGTATGCACAATGAAATTATTCAATTTTTTATGCAGGTGTCAACAAGTTCCTCTCAACACGCCAGCTATTAGAAACGAGTATGTAACACAGCTGCTGGTTCACCCTTCTCACAGGGCAAAAAGTAGGACAGGAACAGTGCAAGATATTCAGAGCATTGCCAGGAGGAGAGGAATCAGGCCTATACTTCACTTGTATCCAGTTACATTCATCTGCCTAATGTCAGACTCCTCTCAGGTCCACTAAAACATGCAAGTAAGAAATGACACAGACAACCTTTAGACCTCAAACTCTGGCTTACAGCTTTGGCTTTTGTGATATTCCTGCATAAGCATACCTGCCTGGGAGCCTGCAGAGCTGTAATCATTTCACAGGGGCTGGGAAGCAGCTAGAAGTTTCTCTCTTACTGCTCCATCTTTTTTTCTTGTTTAGAAAGGCTGGTGGCAGAGGGGACACCAAGAGTGGCACCAGGAAGATTTCTGAGATGCTGCAAGACATGTGGCAGCAGGGACCTCCCTCCTGCTTAGGTCTGAGCACAGGGAGATGTGACATTTTTGAGAGCACTGATTAAGGAAGGCAGTCATTACAGGCATGTGAATAATCAGTATAACTGCATTTTAAATAAGGCACAGGAAAAAGTGAAATTGCAATTACATTAGTAAGAGTCATCAGTTGATAGCGCTACCACAAGCCCTTGTTCTTTGAGGAGACAGTTAACAGAGCTTGAGGGAGGGTGAGTTTTAATGATTTTAACTTTCCCATCTTATACTAAATACTGGCACTGGTCAGACACTTGAAGCTAAGAAGGTGCGCAAGCATCCTGCTGAGTAAGGCTTTGAATCACCAATTCCTCTGGTTGACTAACTGGGATGTGATCCAGCCACAGAAATCTAGCAAGCTTTTTATGGCCTAATGTCTGAAAAATTAATTCCTCTGATGTCCAGCCTCACAACGGGCCATGCCTGCTTGCTGGGCACAAAAAAGACCTCCAGTACTGGCAGAGATCTCCCGGAGTACCTAACAGAGAAGGCAAGCAGGTGCACACAGTTTGCTGGAGATTCAGTCATCAAAGTCTATTCATGTTAGCAAGAACAGGTATGGATAATACTGGTACACGTATATGCCAAAAATATTTTTTACAATTCTGAGCACCCTTTAACCCAAAGTCAGGGAAGTCTCAAGAAAACCAAATGTCTTCTCATTTGGCTTTTTCTAAGTGCAGAATTTCTCTTATGTTACAGTGAAATTATATTATCTTCTGGTTTTGCCCTCTATCAAATACAGATTTCTTTCTTTTGCCAAATTTTTCAGTGTTTTTGTAAGCCAGAGTGAGCTTTTCCTTCTTTCTACCTGCCAAGATCATGCATTAACACCTATGTCCTTGTTCTTCACTTAAAAGATTTTTCCTTTTACAAAGCCAAAATTAGACATATATTTACTGTTACTATTAGCATATAGTATATGATAAAACTGAGCATAAAGCTGAAAATATGTACCTAAGGGCTGGGAATTCTCTAGCAATTTCATTTTGGTGTGATTAGTTGTTGAATAGTATAGATTAATTTATTTTATTCTGTGAGATCCCTTGTCACATAAAGGCAATGCTCAGTGACTTAGGGCAGACTTAGAAATCTGTTCTTAATGATGTTGGAAACATTGCAAATGCATGAATTAAGGAATAGCTTTATACTTTAAAGAAAGCATTTGATTTTATTAGCCTGGGGCATTAGAAGACATAAAAGATGTAATGAAATTATTCCCCCGCCTCCTTTTTTTGTCATGAGGAACAGAAATGTAACGTATATACTTCTAGCATGCATTTATCTCTTCTTCCTGACAAGTCTTTAAAGAAATGCTTGACCTAAATGTCAAAAACTTGGTTATAATTTTAAACTGAAAGACCAAAGAGGAGATAGGTTCCTAAGATGCCATATCTTAATTTTTCAGGAAGGAAAAAGACAAAATCAACATGTGTTAAGAAAAGTTGCAAGAAAATTCAGATGAGAAAGTAGAGGTGAGAAAATCTAATTTGATTACAAGGGTACAGATGCACTGGAGGTCAGTGCCTGAGCACTGCTGAGAAGAATTGAGAGCCTGAGCTTGCTGCCTGTTACCAATCTGTGCTTACCATTGCAGTGAAATTTTACATGTGTGTGTGCACTCATGCTGAATTCTGGATCCAGGGTGCATCTTAACTGAAGACAGCCTTGGGACTGGAGACAGAGTGGGGGCTGGAGACAGAGTGCAGATTTGTGCTGGAAATAACTCTCCAGATGCCCTGCTCATGGCTCTGGCAGCCCTGATGTGCGTTACCCGCAGACACGGCGCCAAAGGCTGGCTGCAGACTCAACAGCCCCGCTACTCGCACCCTGCTAAGCAGGTTTTCCCATAGTTC